TATATATATATATATACACACACACACACACATTTATAGGTATATATATACAGAAACTCTTAAATATATGCAAGTATATTTTTACATCTCCAACAGTAAAATTTGATACATATAGAGAAATATTAAATACAAGATATTCTAATTACTATTCTAAAACGTAAGTGTTTCTCCTAGCGATCTGACAATTTTAACACTGTTATACGAGTTGTGTAAATTTGTAGATATTTTTTCTACCGAAAAGGTTGAATTACTGTACATGAAAGGTGTGAAACAAATTAATTTACAAGTAGAACTGAGCAGCTATTATAACATATCTTGTGTTTTATATTCGTTGAGGAACTACTGTAACGTACAAGAACGTTTTAATTAAGGCGCCTAGTTACTCTTTATATCTGTCCATTCTAGGCGTTTACAGTACAGAATAAAATATCCGTGGTAGGTCGCGCCCTCTACAGCAGTATAAGTACATCAGGGAGAGTCACCAGGACGGCGTTATCTTCTGTCACACATCTTCAACTATCCAGATTTAACATTAACACAATTAGCCAAAGTTATCTATTGACGACTGTGAATTTCCCGGAAGGTTAACAAGAGACGCAGGATGGAATAACTTGTACCATCCAATCACAATATCGGAAAGATCTAGATCGTTTAACATGATCTGAGCCACGCCCATGAATACCTTCTTTTCCATTCGTCCGTAGTCACCCCATATAGTAACCTGTAAATAATCGTGAAGTGTTCTGTTCTTAATTAAAAATCAACTTGAAATGGCGTTTAGGGTAATATTTTAATTGATATGAAAACTGTAGGAATTATATGAATCTATAGTAATTATTTTCATTTGTACATGTACTTGTATCCAGCGATCTAACGAATAGCTGGACATTATCGACGCTTCTTTTTCAAATTTAAGAGACTTGACAAATTATCGGACATAATAGTGATCATACTAAAGCTAACAACGCAAGGTTTTGAATGGAATAATGTGAAAGTTTTGAAGAAATCAATAAAAGATTTATAAGTGATTATGATACCATACTGCAGTAGCGAACAGTGTAAAAAATATTTACTATTAATAAATACGTTATCTTCCGAAACCACAAGATGGCGCGCCACACATTCTTGCACTTGTAAATTTCAAGTGAATCATTAGACTGTGTCAAAATATTTATGATAAGAATTTTTGTCCGAGTATTACGCTAAATTGACAGACTGGGCCCAAATATTTATATTATCTAAAAACTAATAGGTAATATGAATATAAAAACTAGAAGTCGCATATTTCGGTGAAAACCGTTTCCTTGCAAGATATTCTGAGTGGTTGAAATGACGTCAGGGATTCGCTTTTCTCTTTTAAGCTATATAAGTTAATTTTGTCCTAAAATATGACACTACAAATCAGATAAAGCTCTCAACGCTGGTAAAAGAACAAGATTTTGACTGCAAGGACGTTTTCTCTAGTTTTATAAAAACCCTTACCTGCAACACACACCCTCTGAAATCTTCATCGAAGTGTAGTTGTTCTTGATACAACGGATCCAAAGTTCTTCTAGCAGCTGAAGTTTTAGCTTTGGAGAGACACTTGCTTCCCAGTACTAAATACACTTTCACGTAAGAAGCTAAAAAAAAAACACATTTAGGAAGGTATAATCGCTATTTCAAAACCATCTTTTTCTATATTTTCTGGCCCATAAAGATGGAGGGGGGAGGGCAAGAGAAAAAATGTTTCCTTTATAATTTTTATTAATGATGATACTAATTAAGTTATGCTAAAATATAATTCCGACACGATACCTTACCTCCTCTCAAAAAAAAACTTTCTCGACTTATACTGCCCTCTATCGGTAAAATATTCACTCGCCGTTAGCGTTGATACTCCCATGTTACCTTCACGTATGTTAACGTGAAATATCTGCATATTAACATGCAAATGATTATGTAGCAACCCTCCACCAGCAGGAGTGCGAAACTATCCCTATCGTAATTAGCACCCTTTCTAATCTTACAGCTGTTAACCACTTCTCGATTGGCAGTCTTACAGTTCGGATGTGTTTTTAGGCCGATTTTTTCGCTTCATTGCCAAAAATTAGTTTCATTTTTCGGACGTATATTTTTATTTTCGTAGAATTTTCGAATTTTATGCGATTTTGAGAACTCTTTTTGGAGTTAAACTTCTTTTTTTTTCTGTCAACTCCACTCATTATATGCGCAATTCCACGTGGCTTCTGCCTCAGTAGCTGTAACTACTACGGCTGATTTGTTTGCCAATTCAAAGGCGTCAGCTCGGGATGTAATGGCTGATTCGCCAGGAGTTGGCAACATTTATACAGACTACTGAGTACCTGGTGATTGTCCTCCTATACTTTGAAATGTTCTGCCTGTACCTGATGATTAGGATTTGAGCTGTGTAGCTCCTCCTCCTGCCTATGACTCCCAGTCGTGTGTCGTTTCCTTGCCATTTGGTAGACCTATTCCACCAGGTAAGATGTTTTATCACTACCTCCATTTCTTTTCATTCTATTCCTGCTCTTCTGTGTGACGTGCTGTCGGGTCAGTTTTAGTGTTCTCTGAACCCCTCGGGTTATTGGAGGTCCCGAGAGTAGTTTTGGGGACCAATTAAGCTCGGGGGGTACGTATACTTTAACCCCCACGTACTTTGCATGACCATGATCTGGTATGTCGTTGTTCTGACTTCCCTCCTTGGGCATGCAGAGTTTAGTTTAGCTTGTCCCTTTTTGGGGATAGAACGCCTTTACTTCGGTTTTAGTGAATGGCACTTTTGTTTTGTACCAGGTAATTTTTGGGGGACATTCCCAAATCTCGACAGCATATGGTTCGGTCAGCCCTGATGCTTAACATCACATGGACTTCCTTTTCTCCCACACCACCTTGTCCCCATTTTTCCCCTCAGTCGGTTCTGGCCTCCCGGGTTGTTTGCAGTTTGCCGTCGATCCTTGGTAACTTCGGCGTGGGGGGAAGAGCTCAGCCCAGCGAAACTGGGTTCATGTCTTCTTGGTGGGACAATATTATGTATATAGACTTCCAACAATTGGGTTAGGGGTTTGATTCTACATGGTGGAAGCAGCGATTAGCCAATGTGTCTTTGCTATACAATATACTCATTCTCACTCCATCAGACATCCTACAACAATTTTTCCAAGTGCTTTGCCCAAGTCTGGAGATAATTTCTCACAGATTCTTGGGTTCTGAGATGATCACATTTGGTCTGATTCTTTTTCGAATTTCCCTCCTTCTCGGTTTTCCATAGGGGTTGTGTTTTATCAGTCTGGACTCCTCCATTGGACCTCTCCTTGGTTCCTTACAATTTGGGTGTTCCAGGTTTTTGCCTGTCTTTTTTCCTTTCAGGTGCTGTCATTCCAGCATGTGGATCACTCCCCATACCTTTACCACTTATTATCTTCACTAACTGGCCGTTTCTTGTTCTGATGGATTTCATCGTCCTCCATTCGCCATTTTGCACTCCTCAGTTTATCTGTGAGTGGTAAGTACTCCATTATTATTTCTTTTCTTTTTTTGCAGAGGCCTTTTTCACGTGTTTAGATCCCACTCTGTGCCGAGTGATGCCTGACCAGGTGTACCTATTCTAAAATCTGCACTGCAAGATTTGTCATCATATATCATGTTAGATAACCGTGACAGTGAGGCTCTTCCTATTGCAGACCAGATGCACAATTCTAGATACCACCAGGTGTTGGTTGATTAATTTTTATCAATGTGTTTTCAATATTCTGAAAATACAAGGCCATCTCACACTCAATGCTGAGATGGGATGTTTTGCAGACTGCTTGTAGGTATACCTCGCGGTCTTTTGCTTCATAAATATGTTTGTCCCAGACCATACACTCGTGAACTAACATGAGTAAAGCAGACTGGGATAGCTGCCAATCTCTAATGAGCCATGGTATTCGAGGTTCTTCCTACCACATATCTGACTTACAATTCCAGATGCCGCCAGGTGTTGGATGATTGACTCTGTCAATGTGCTCACTCTGCTCTTTGAAAGAGGGTATTCCAGTCACCAACTACTGTCTCCAGTGTGGCAGTCCTCAAGACTCTCCAATGCACTTTTCCCTTCTCCTTCTAGCTGAATATGGGAGTCCTCACCACTTACCAGTTCCTAGCCACAGGGGTGGTAAACCATTGAAGCCTATCCTCCTAAGTGTGTACAATACCACAATGTCAATGGCATTCTGACAGTGTAGATGGCATGACACCCTTCTTACTGTGGACCTGATGTTCAATTCCAGATGCCACCAGGTGTTGGATGTAGCACTTCACCACATATACATAAACAAAAAATGCAGTTCGACCCTCTGGCTGAGGTACCTTTCATCCTACAAACCCCTGGATGCTGGTTGGAGCAATACCAGCCAGATAAGTCGTCACCTTCCCAATGCTGCCAGGTTTTGGACCGGAGATGCAACCCCATATAGCTGTCCCTCTTCCTGTCATCTGCTGGATGTTGATTCCCGGTGGATCTGGTGTTGGTTGTAGTTGGATGAGGCATGAATTTCTGCATGTGTAGCCCAACATGGCCAGGTGGTTTAGGCACTCGAATCACAATCTGCGGGTCGCGGGTTCGAATCCCCGTTACACCAAACATGCTCACCCTTTCAGCCATGGGGCGTTATAATGTAATGGTCAATCCCACTATTCGTTGGTAAAATAGTAGCCCAAGAGTTGGCAGTAGGTGGTGATGACTAGCTGCCTTCCCTCTAGTCTTTCACTGCTAAATTAGGGACAACTAACGCAGATAGCCCTCATGAAGCTTTGCACAAAATTCATGACAAACCAAACCAAACCTGCATGTGTAAGGCAGGGTACCTTCCTCTTTCCACAGGCTGGACGAAAAATTCCCAGTGCTGCCTGATTTTGGATGAAAGGTAAACACTTATCTGGGCTCTCCGCCTTCCTACCATCGACCAGATGTCAGTTGCCAGTGGATCTGGTGTTTACTGTACATGTAGAGGGAGGATCTTGATATGGAAGCTTCTCTTCCCTCCCGTTTTTGAGGTGAAAGGCAGATGACCCTCTTCCTACCACATACCTGATATACAATTCCAGATGCCACCAGGTGTCGATTGAGGTCGACCCCCATTTATGGTCTGTCACACCATAGCCACTCTACACCAAGGAGTCTCATTATTAATGGAATTTGTCTTGGGATCCCTCCTTGTTTCCGCCATTTGGCGACACATTACTAATGGGCGAAGAGTATACCTGGCTCACAAGTGGTGAGGTCCCCCACACCCCATGGTTTTCCTTTGGGTGCTTCCTAAAAAGGTATCATTATCTCACCAGCCCTCCACCTGTTCAATGTGGGATCCTAGCTTTATGTGAGAGAAGGTAAGATATCAGTTTGGTTTGTGTTGAATTTCGCGCAAAGCTACATGAGGACTATCTGCACTAGTCATCCCTTATTGAGCAGTGAATGACTAGAGTGGAAGCAGCTAGTCATCACCAACTCTTGAACTACTCTTTTACCAACGAATAGTGTGACTGACCATCACATTATAATGCCCCCACGGCTGAAAGGGCGAGCATGTTTGGTGGGAGGGGGATTAGAACCCGCGACCCTTAGATTGTAAGTCGAGTGCCCTAACCACCTAGATCGTATCGGAAGTTAACATTTTCCTAAACTGAAAATGTATTTCTGATAGATACTTACATCCTCTCACATTTCCCACCTGCCCTCCCCACTTGTGGTGTGATCTGACTAATCTCTAAGTGATTGACAGCTGAAAGATTAGAGGGAGCGCTAGTTACAATAGGGAGAGGGTTGCTGCATAATCATTTGCATGTTATTAGGCTAGTGGCGAGCGAAAATTTGCGCCGATAGAGGGCAGAATATGTTGAGAAAGCTTTTTGTTAGAAGAGGTAAGTATCTATCGGAAATACATTTTCAGTTTAGGGAAATATTAAAATCTGAAAACCGACTACGTTACAAACATTTTTAAAGTAAAAAATATAGCACTATATTATATTAAGATGTTTACTGTCACCAGAAACCTAATACTAATAGTGAAGATATACTCAGCGCAAAGCAGTTTCATGATCTACACACAAACTGTTTATATATATATATATATATATATATATATATTATGTCGTCAAGAACTACAAT